GACAACCCCGTAACAATATGCGTTTTGTACTGCTGTTACACAGCACAAAACGCATAAAAAAGCTGTTTGTTGTAGGGACAGACAAAGGCGCTGTCGTCAAGGAACAGACAAAGAAGTTAATGTCTGCTGATGAATCCCGATGATGCAAGTGATCTGACAGCGTCACATGTTGTTATTTTGCGTCTCAAAAAGTCCATAATAAGTGCTCGCTTCCGAGTTTCATGGCGTTAAAGATGCCCAGAAAAACAGCAATTTTAGTACTGCACGGGAGTAAGGCAGCCATATTTACTCATTCGTCAAGCACTCCGCCATCACCGGTTCAGAAGCTTTGGAATCCTTCCAGTTTTCTTTCCCAGTTGCAGTTGTGAACAAGCAGAATCACCGGATTATAAGCCCAATGGTTGACATGGAGCTTCTCCAACGAGGACGAAACAAAGTGAGGCCGATTTACTTAATCGGCGGCCAGAATGATCCAGAATGGATTGGTGGAGGAGAAACAATGGGTTTTTTCTCCGTTTGTTGTAAAGAGGCCTGGGCGTCCGAAACTTCTTTTGCTTGCTGCGCCCAGCCAGTACGAATGACCACTTGAACCGATTGGTGCAGGTTATCCACTTTCGTTTAACTCTGCGATTTTTGCTGTTTCTTCTTTGTTGGCATGTGCAACTTTTCGGATGCTGTTATTGTTGATGATGATGTATGTGCAACGCTGGTAAGGCGTAATGTGTAATAAAATACAGTGATTCAGGTAATGGATATGAACTTGAACAACTGCGAAAAACTTCGGACTTGATGCGCTCGAACTCCCTTACTGTCATTCGTAATCTGATTTTATCAACAAAAGATCGGTAAGTAAGATCTGCAGCGACGATGGCTCCGCAAACAATTGTTCCAGCAATAAAACCTCCTTGATCGAGGTTCGCTATTGATCTTTTTTTTTAAAAAAAAAACCTTTTTTATAAAACTCTTTTTTAAAAACCTTTTTTAAATCTTTTTTTAAAAACCTTTTTTAATTTTTTTTTTTTAAAAACGTTTTTTAAATCTTTTCTTAAAAACGCTTTTTAAAATCTTTTCTTAAAAACATTTTTTAAATCTTTTCTTAAAAACGCTTTTTAAATCTTTTTTTGAAAACATTTTTTAAATCTTTTCTTAAAAACGTTTTTTAAAAACACTTTTAACAAATAATGAAAACTTTTTTAAAATAACTTTAAAAACTCTTTTCCTCTTAAAATCCTTTTCTCCCTCCTTTCTTTTCCCTTCCCTCTTCACCCAACTCTTGCTCCATCTAGTCCCACAATTTACATCATGTCCCCTTCTGTTTTTTCCTGTCGTCTTCCCCTTTCCTCTCCCTTTCCATTAAGCACTGCGACCGTCATAATGGCGAAGTTCTGTCACGGTGTTGAGTTAATACGTACAAGACTTAATGAACCGAAACGTCTTATCTCACTCTCACCTTCTTTTCTCATACTATTCCTCCATGCTGTAATGTACTGCGCCTTCGCCACCCAAGGCTCCACGGTCAACCTTGTTGCTACAGTCGGCTTGATATGACCGTACGGTAAAAAGGTATAATGTTTTCACCCGTTATAAAATTCTAGAACGCCCAAGAAAAGAGCACTTCCCACCGAAAGAATGAAGAAAACAGAGAGATTCAGAAGCATTTATTTTTAAAATATTTTGCTGGTGTACAATCTGGCCTGTCTTGAGCGTCACAGAAGATTTACGAATTGCTACCTTTCTTCACAGCTTGTCGTTTTTTCCATTTTTCTTCCGCCTCCTGCGCTTTCACAATTGCTTTGCAGTCCGAACACATCCAGTTTTTAGGAACCTGAAATTAGCCAGATTCAGCTAGGAATACCATTCTGATACACCAACTGAGAAGCAAAAACTTACTTTTATTTTTGGTTTTACACAGTCTACATGATAGCATCGGTCGCATCGTATGCACATGCACAACTTCTCTGCTTCCCCTTTTTTCCTGCATATTCGACATTTTGCCTTAAAAAAAATGTAATATAATTGATGTCCAACGATTTATACCATGGAAAACAATAATTACATTGCCTAAGCACATACCGCAATATATTCATCACTTGGATATAAACCTGCGCTCTTCAAAATATCTACCTTGACGACATTGGCCGAGGTTTCACGACTACGGTAACAAATTGCGCTATTAATTCTAGTGTTGCTATTATCAACAATCAAAAACCCTCCAATATTCGCTCTCAATAAGAGGTGGAGACATTCGGGAAGTAGCTCGAGTAGTAGCAAATTCCAGCAGCAACAACCCGCTGACAAAGCTGTCAATGGTTCCTTCGTTTGAGGGTTGCTTACAAGCAATCTGACGGCGGTTTGATTCCAAGACAGTATCAACTTACTACCGAAATGAATAAAGAGTCGTATAGGGATTGAATGCTCCACCGGCGGAGATGAACATTCGACCTACTGCATGACAACAGTACTACTCTGCTGTGCCATGTCTGCCAGCTATTGCCGTTATATAAATAATTTTGAGAAGCCGAAGTCTTGCAAGGAACTCAGCAGCAGATAGCGAAACAGATCTTAACAAGTAAAATGTTAAGAAATAGTACAATAGAAGGACTGGGCTAACGTCACGTATAATATTTCACGATGCAGTCTCTGTGTTTCATCCCTTAGCTGTAAACTCAGACCGAACTTTGCATGCGGGTAAGAAAACATGTTGAATAGCCAGGCGTATTAATTAAAAAATCTACAGACCTGAAGTCGACTTTTCGTCCAGAGTATAGCCGGCTCTAAAGTTGAATAGAACAGTGATAGTGCTGAGATTGAAGAGCATTCCAGCAATGCTTTCTGCCATAAATCAAATGTGGTTGTTGGAATATTGACGCAGCCCTTGTCCTTGGAAGAAGGTTTGACGAATGGAAGGCGCAAAAACTTCAGATTTATTCCTTGCACGATGCGCAAAAATGCCAGCGCCAATTGCTTGACATCATCCAACGACTGCACTTCATCGAAACTGATTACTGTCTCACCGAAGATTTCCACGTCACCTAATAAATGGGGCAAGTAAAATTTAATTTTATTTTAAACTTTCCGTCGTACTAACACCTCAACTGCCCCTCCCCCTCGTCTTTTTTCCCATACTCCCTCGCTAAGCAATGTAAGAAAGTCTCTTCGATCCCCATCACTTTGCTGCTCGTAATATACAAATCCT